CTGCACAATACACCACAGAGCTGCGTAAGAATGAGTGTATGTCGACTGTAGTGTAAAATAAAAAAAATAAAATGTGTGATGCCACAACCCTTTGAGATTAAATTATCCAGTAGATTGTTATTTATCACACACAACGTGATGGGACATTATTCTATATCATGTGTAGATCCCCATACACACACTGTGTGAATGATCGAATTTTGTTTTTAATATTATTAATTAGGTTTTCAATCATGCCAAACATTGTGGAGGTGTGGTATTTTTAGATCACGCCAAGGCCACTTGATAAATGACTTCCATGTAGGATACACCGATGTTTCCTCGCTCCTCGTCTCCTCCAGGTGCATTTAAGGAACTGGAAGATCCTTCATGAAGGCGGAGGGGGGGATGATCTCCGGGTCACGGGAGGAGAGAGGATGCGAGGAATCATACGTTAGCGTAAAGAAAAGCACCCCAAGAGCGGAGAAGATGTATGAGGTGGGTGAATTGAGGGATCATCTGCAAAGTCTGAACAAAATGAACTGTGTAACCGGATAGCATACAGACCAGGGTGGCTGCAGATGAAACTATAAACCAGTCAGAACTTTTTTACCAGCCAAATTATTGAATTACTGGCTAATATCTACAATCAGTGCAGCACAAAAAGGTACTTAAACCCTGATACCGCCCTTATTTTTACTTCAGTGTTGATTTCAGACCTTAATCTTATTTAAAATTCCCATCTTTAATATTCATACATTGCTGTAACCTGTTTAGCAACAGTGAAATAACTCTTAAACTAAATTTAATCTTATAGAAATCCACCAAAATCTTTCAACAAAATTATATAGTTTCATGGACATGTTGGGTATAATATTGAACACAGTCTCGTTTGGACTGTAGATTACGTTTTGTTACATGCCAACTGGCTAACCAAGGCTAGTGGTAGGATAATGGTGATCTGTCCTTCTGACTCTGAATCTAATTGGCACTATATTCATGCTGGTGTCTCACAAGAGAAATAGAACATGTCTGGACAAAACATGTTTCCACACAGAGTGAAAGAAGCAACGGAGAGCTAATCTCTTAACGGAGCTGGAAATGAAAATCAACCTTTATCCTGCTAAGAAGAGGCTATGTGCAAAGGATCTATACAATCCAAGAGCACTATAGTATAGTGTCCTGGCACTGCTGATATAATGTGATTAAAAAAATATATTTTTGGGGGGATCCTCCCACCAGTTTCTGACTCTCAGTCTTGAGCACAAGGGGGCATTGCACCAAATTTGCAACATGCAAGCTGCGACATGCAACAGGAAATAATTTCCTCTCAGTCATTTTTTCACTCATCAAATCAAATCCTGAACTAATGACCCCTGCATGAGCTTGCAGGAGCCCTGTGGGACGCCCAAATGTACCATAAAAGTCTGTGATCTGTATGTATCTGAGCATTGCTAACCAATAATAAAGCAGACAACCACAAATTCAGAATGAGAGGTGATGAGGACCGGTTGGTTTAAGTTGACAAGGATCTTTAGTTGTGAATTATGAACTATTTTGTCTGTCAGGAGCAAAGGTGGAAATAGCGAGACGTTGTTTTAGAGCTATGTGTATTAAGGAGCTCTAAACCCGAAGTATAATCTCTCTCTAATCTTAACAAATCAGTTTTTGTTTTGGCTATGACGACACAAAAAATGTAAAACGTAGCATTATAATAAAGTGCTGTAGTTCTGAAGAGATGCCTACAAATCTTATAGGACTTAAAACGTGTTTCTTTGGTACTACATCCCCCAACAGATGACACATTATGATTTTAGTCTGTTTTTTTTGTGAAAATAAACAATCACAATCACAATATCTGACAAAATAATCACAATATGACTTTATTTACCATTCCATGCAGCCTGAGTTTTGGCCATTATGAAGAAAGTTTCCTAAGCAATTCGATATTTTCCAACCTTTTTGTGCTTCAACCAAAACAAACCATCACTACATCAGTGATTCAATCATCTATGTAACAGTGTTTTGGAGGTGGCACTGACAAACAAAGCTGATGAGAAGAAAGAATAATTGGCATCGCTATTAAAGGTCCACGAGGAAACAACATCTTTTATAATTTACTTTGGAAGACTTGCTGAATTTAAGTGATAAAAAATCAGAATGAGACTCATTATAACCGAAGACCTACACACTGAATTAGATTCGCTGGTTAAAAGTGCACACGCGAGGAATCCAATCAGGAGTAGAAGAGATGCAGTCCATCGTATTAAAGCCCCTGTATGCTAATAACTGTATGTCGGGGCGTTGATGGTGAGAGGGAGCACTGGCTGGATTTCACTGTTGCCCACTTAGCAGCAACGGTGAAATAAATCTCACACAAATCTCGCTGACGGGGGGGGGGCGAGCTGAAATCTCGGCAGAAAACGCAGCAGATCCGTCTAACACCGGAGGACGACAGCCAGCTTCATAAATATGGAGGGCAGAGTGTTGAGGAGCGGGAAAGAGTATGAATATTTTACCAAGCTGAGGCCAGTGGGAGACTCACAGCGAGGATGGCCAGAAAGAGAGAGAGAGAGAGAGAGAGAGAGTACAGCTGGTTGCTTCAGTGTTATATAACACACACCCAAAACAGATGGACACACAACACAAATGCACACTGGTATACAAAATGAAAACATACACAGGAACACACACATGGACATACTGCTCATGACAGTGGGAACAGCACCCTCACACACACACACACACACACACACACACACACACACACACACACACACACGGACAGGCGGCAATGAACACATTAACAAAGTGACACAAATAAACACGGACAACAGAAAAGATGAATGACCACACACACACACACACACACACACATATTTGTTACTGTTGTCCACCCACGACCGCATTCATCCATCTTATTTTTATCAAACACAAGATGCCAGCCGGTCTGAGACAATAACTGGCTTAATACACACATAAACACACACACACACACACACACACACACACACACACACACAAGCAGTATGAAGACACAGCAGTGGAGAATAAGGGAAAAGAGACAGAGAAAGATGTAGGAGGCGACATACTGTACTGTATAAGCGATAGCCACACGCTGTGTATACAAAGAGAGGGAGTGGAAGTGAAAGAAAAACTGAGTAAATCTCAATAAAAATATAACATTATCTCCAAAACCAGCAGGGTTTTAAACCACATAAACGGACGTATTTTGTTGTTTGTTCGACAGAGTGATTTGTATTAAAGGATAAGTGCGGTTATACAGTACAGTATGTTTTCTTACTGTCAACAAATCCTACGGAAGTGATCCAAGCCTGATCAAATTCATTCTCTGGCTCGTCGCTCTGTGGCGTGGACCTCTATTTTTGTCCAAAGACCATTAAAGTGTGGTTGTACCCCAAACTAACAGCTCAGAGAGGCTAACTCTACGTTATGTGTGTGTGTGTGTGTGTGTGTGTGTCTAGAAATATACTCCATGTCAGCATTAGCCTTGCAAGACTCGGTATGTCAGTGTTAACACCAGCATCGATGTGTTTCATCCCAGTGATATATATTAGTTTACAGCTCAGAAAACATGTGTAAGTGTGCAGTACCTCTTTAAAAACACATCAATAAGTACATAAATAATAATAAAATAACCGAATGTCTGCTCATTAGTTCATCTGCTCCCACTGACTGAGTTTTATGACAAGACATCAACCTGATATCTGCCCCCCAGCTGCCTCATCTACCCAGCTATATGGCAGGAACAGACTGAGGAACCTGCTCACCGTTCACTCACCTCTTTAAGATATTATCCTGTCGACAAATACGGCGAGCGCAGACGTGTGTGAAGAAGTGGTGGAAGTGAAGACCCTTAAAAATGCACAATTTACCTCTGTTTGAGTAATGTATGTTAAAAACGATGCTGCAGCTGTTTTAGAACGTAAAAACTTAACTTTATGACCAAAAGATTTACATCATTATTGGGAGCTGAAAGCAACTTGAGGCTGAGAGACGTCAGACAGTATTAAGAGACGGACTAACACTGACAAATAACAAATGAAGCCAGTCTTGTCCTTTAAACTTTAAAGAGATATGAAATGTAACGTGTCGAGACCTTCACTCGTTCATTCATTCAGTCCCTCGGGTGTTTGTTCAAAGTTGCCACGCCATTCAGCCGTTCAGCCCCACCTCCTCGTTCATTCAACTAAAAACCCACTGTGATCGTTTTAATGGAAGAGCCGGGCAAAGGGCGAGACAGCATGAGTCACAGAGACAGAGAGAGAGAGAGGCAAAAAGAGAAACAGTGTTACCTGAGAACAAATGGAAACCCTAGTTCCCTTGAGTGCTAATTTGCATACACACACACACACACACACACACACACACACACACAGGTTCAACACTACAAACAAGACATTAATATTAAAATGAGAATGACAGCGTTCCACCTTTAAAAACAAAAACAAGGCAACCAGGCAACTGACTAAAATGTAAACAGACATCTTTGAATGCCTCTTTCAACACACACACACACACACACACACTCCAAATCACATACATCAACAGTGTTTGTCCTATCACAAATTCAACCTTAAATAACAACGCTGCAAGGTGAATCCAATATACACCATCAGCAGTGTCCCTGCACACACACACACACACACACAGTACAATATAAACACAAGACAGCAAGGGGATATTGAACATACACACACACACCCACACACACACATCCTCTCTCACACAGCCTTTCTGCATGCTAACACACACACACACACACACACACCTTTAAGGCGGCCGACACACACCCATATCAGTGCAGTCCAAACGCCACACACGCATGTAAACACTTTCCCAACCGCCTCCGCTTCTGCTTCCACGCCTTTCCCACCCACTCAAAACACACACACACACACACACACACCCGCCCACACACACACACACACACACACACACACTCCATCCACCCATCCATCCATTCCCCTCCCTCTTTTTCCCTCTCCATCCATCCTTACCTTGCAGCAGGCTCTGGAGGTTGAGCTGCGCCTGCTGGTGCAGCTCCTCGACACACTCCGGCCTGCTCCACGAGCCGAACACGTTCACGCTCTGTTGCCATGGAGACCTGAAGTGGGCCGCGCCGCCGCCGCTGCTGCTGCTGCCTCCTCCGCCGCTGATGCTGCTGTGGTTGCCGTCGCCGTGGCTGCTGCTGCTGCTACCGCCGCGCCTGCCGCTCTCCGCCTCTAGACCGCTGGTGGCTGGAGAGGAAAGAGAAGGGGCGGAGGGAGGGAGAAATGTTGAGAGGAAGTGATGGATGGAGGGAGAGAGAGAGAGAGAGAGAGTAGGGAAGGAGGGTGAGAGAAATGGGGAGAGAGAGAGAGAGAGAGAGAGAGAGGAAGTGAAATAGGGAGAGGGGAATAAGATTATTGAGAGTGCAGCAGGGAGGGAAAAGGAGGAGAGAAATAGAGGAGGGAGAGGGATGGAGAAGGACAAGAGAGGAAAGAAAAAGAGGAGGAAAAGCGGGATCAAGGTGGATGGGGGAGAGAGGAGGTGAGAGAGGAGGGAGAAAACAGAGAGAGGTGGAGAGAAGGGGGATAAAAGAGAAGAGGAGGGAAGTAGAGAGGGAATACACGGGAAAAAAGGAGAGGGAGAAATGAAGGGATGGAGAGAGGAGGAGGAGGAGGAGGAGGAGGAGGAGAGAGAAAAATCACACGTAAATAAAAATGTATGAATTTGCATAACTATTACCCAGAGACGCAGATTACATAATGCAGTGTGTTGTCAGGGAGAACAAGGACCGAGGAGGGAAGGAACGAGGGAGGGAGGGAGGGTGGGAAAAAAAAGAAACAGGGATTAGAGAGAAAACGAGGGAGGGATGGACAGGAAGAGAGGTAGAGCACAGATTTGGAGGGGAAACAGAGAGAGGGAGCGCTTAATTAGGAGGGAAAAGGAGTGGGAGGAAGATAGAGGGACAGTCACGGGAGGAGACAGAGAGGGAGGGAGGTGGAGGGAAGGAGGGATTAGGGCAGGGAGGTATGGGAGGAAATTTAAAAAAAAGAGACAAATTGTGATTGTGGCATTAGGGAGAGAAAGAAGTACAAGAGAGGGAGGAGGAGGGGTAAAAAAGGGGATGACATTTAAAGGGAGGAGATCGGAGGAATGAAGGCAGACGTCGGGCCCTGTCACTATCAAAACCTCCAACACAGACAATCACAACAGATCATCCCGAGCGATCGCAAGTGGCCATTCAACGTCGACATGAATGAGACGTTGCTTTGAATCAGCGGTGATGAAATAATTTGACACATCCGGCGCCTGATAAAACATGACTAAACAAACGCAGGAAACCCCCCCGAATGTGACAGCGGTCGCCGTCCAACTGAGCTGTCAGAAGAAAATACACAAGAAACTCTTCCTGCGAGAACAAAGAACACAGAGGATCCATTCAGTCGCAGTTATTAATTCGATACTGGACGCTCACATGGCTACGCAATGTCTAAGTGACAAGTTGTAGTAGTATGAAAGCCAGAAAACTTAAAGCAGCTACAAGCAGCTTTCATTTTGTGACCCCCAGGTGGACGAAAGGTTTCGATCCGAGCATTACAGGCCATCCATCCCATCAAATTAAAAGCCCACAGCGACCCTCGCAGCTCGTAGCAAGTCGCCACAGTACAGTACCGCACCATTTTGGATCTATGGAATCTTGGTTTCACATAGCACAGCAGATACAATAATAAACAGGACACACAGAGTATGTAATTGCATGTCTTTTTTATGTCAAAAGCTCAACAAAACCTTCCTTACAACATTAATCCTACAATATTTGTGCATGGGAGCAACAGCAGGGTTAAAGTAAAGGTTTGAGGCACTTGGTATACTGGGCATCTAAACATTAGCAATACACAGCTATCAACCTCTCGAAACCTTTATCTTCCACCACACATCATAAATGTCACATTATCTCATACTGTACGTTGGCATTGAATATTGGTAAACTGTGTTCTTCATTATTTTTCTTTCACCTGAAACACATATTAGATATGTCAGAAATCCCCTAAAGTTATCTGAAATTTGGATTAAGGATCAGGTGCTGTGGTTGCCCCGAAGAGGAGAGGAAGAGATCCGGGATTGGAGTCTGGACACCCATAATGTTATGCAGCCCCATTTGCAACAAACTGTGATTCACTGTGTGTTCTGACTCCTTTCTATCAGAACCAGCATTAACTGTTTCAGCAGTTTGAGCTACAGTAGCTCGTCTGTTGGATCGGACCACACAGGCCAGCCTTCACTCCCCATGTGCATCGATGAGCCTTGGCAGCCCATGACCCTGTCTCCGGTTCCTTCCTTGGACAACTTTTGATAGGTACTGACCACTGCAGACTGGGAACACCCCACAGGAGCTGCAGGTTTGGAGATGCTCTGACCCAGTCGTCTAACCATCACAGTTTGGTCCTTGTCAAAGTCGCTCAAATCCTCACACTGCCGATTTTTCCTGCTTCTAACACATCAACTTTAAGGACAAAATGTTCACTTGCTGCCTGATATATCCCACCGACTGACCGGAGCCATGATAACCAGATAATCAGTGTTATTCACTTTTTTGTTATTCTATAAATTCAGTGTATTCAGACTGGATACTTTCATTTTGTTATACAACGTTATGTTTGAATTTCATTCCTTAAAAAGGACCAGTGTGTAGGATTTGGCACCATCTAGTGGTGAAGTTGCAGATCACAACTAACTGAATACTGCTCGTGTCTGTACTTGGGAACTCAGAAACTCACAAAAAACATGAAAGGCCCGATGTACAGCCAGAGTTTGGTTTGGCTACTGTAGAAACAACATCTGTAGATAAAAACGTCTCATTTTAAGACAACAAAAACACAATAATTCTCATATTCTGTTGATTACACACTCATGAAAACATACCTATGGATATTACATATTCAGTTTCTGCTGATAGATCCTCCTTAATGTTACACACTGGACCTTTGAATACATTCTCCACCGCTGCATGTAAATGATCTCAATAACAACTTTGTGTTTTGTACTCAAAGCAACATCCATGGATCTACTGTAGGACTGTACGCGTAAATGAGCTCTAAAAGTAAACCTGACTAAATTATCTTGGTACATTCATACAGTGAACCAGACAATAACAACCTTCTGCAGTCTCACACTACGGATGTCTACAACTTTACTTCTTACTTTCTATAAATAATGAGATTTTAAAACATCAGTATGCAGGTTTTTTCCAGTATTTCCACATTAAAATGTCATTTCCTGCGACAGAAAATCAAGTAAACGTGTCCTGAGAAAGACAATACCACACCAACTAAACACTAAATATTATAAATTTATATGAATTTAAAAGCAGACTCTGCAACATGTGTGTGGGAAGCATATCTGAGGGGAATGTCTTGATTTGAGGCACTTTTGAGAAGAAAAACCCAAAACAAAATGGCTAAAACTGAAAGAGCGCTCGGTTCCCAGCAGACAGACGTTCTGCAGCGAATCCGCCGGCACTATCGCATCCTGTTTGCTCTGAAGCAGCCGTCTCTCTCCTCTCTTTCTCTCTCTCGCAAGGAAAAACCCCGTCGTACTGTGCAGAGTCACAATTTCACCCTCTCAGCTACCGGCTTCATCTTCCTAAGCTGCTTTCACACAATCAGCTCCCACCAGAGCAGCCTACTGTTTATGATACAGAAGTACACGTCAGTTAGCATCAGCCGCGGAGAAGAGAACAAAGGCAATCATGCATGATTTATAACGTACATGTTGAGAAGACATATATTCTCGCCATGGAGCCTATGCTATTTTACATCTTTCTCTTTTTTTATCATTTGAAGGCTTAAATACATTTATTTTCTTAAGTAAATATACAGTGCTTTCTTTTGCATTGTTTCTTTCCGAAGCTAATCTGTGTTTACTGGATGTATGCATTGTGTTGTGGCTCCTGCTGCGAGCTAAATATCCCATTAGGGAACTTGAGTTTGAAGCTCACCCAGCTCACGTCTGCAGTATTTCAAGCAGGGAAACAAACTTTTGCACCTACTGTGTTGTATTTGAACAGTTTCTTGACGCCCTGTTTGCAAAACAACTTCCAATATATATAACGGACAGAAAGACTGAGCATTTTAAAATACACTTGACGTATATTAAAGTAATTAAAGGAAATTCAGTGATTTCTCTTATTATAAAAGACTGTATAATGGCACAAAATTAAAGCAAATTGTGGTACTTTCAGACCTTGAGATTATCTCTTAAGACTGCATTTGTGTTTTTGACATATTAAATGATTAGCTTTAAGTAAATACATATTTCCTGTGTGCTTTAGGAGGAAATTGGGGAGTAAAAACACGACTGGAGGCTCTGCAAAGACTCTGCAAGACTTTGGTCAAGTTGGTCACAAATGGTGAATACAGCAGTGGTGGAAAGTAACTAAGTACATTTATCTACTTTATACTTCAACTCTGCAGTTATTTGACAGCTTTAGTTACTTCACAAATTCTGATTTTTACACAAAACATATGAAAAGCTTATAAGATATGATGTTTTGTTATAAATTAAACTACCCAAAAGTATGTAGAAGTACATCTAAAACCATTAGTCGATCAATTAGCTAATTCATTGTCAAATATGTTGTTTATAGTTTAAATATGTTTTCATGAAAGCTCAGCTTCACAAATATGAGGATTTTCTGCTTCTTTCTTTTATTATATTATTATTATTATTATTAATAGAATTATTTTCATGATTTTCATTTATTTTTAATAATTTTAAGCGTTTGGACTGTTGCTCTGGGTAATTGCGGTATTATTTCTCACCATTTATATAATTTTTTACACACCAAATAATAAATCGAACATAATGAAAATAATGAATAATTATTTACAAAAATTAGTAAAAACTGTAAAATCCAGTTTTTATACATTTATAGGGGACGATTTTCTGCATTGAGTATTTTTATTTTTAATACATTTTCCCTGATTTTACATCAGAATACTTTCTTCACCACTGTGACTACATGCATGTATCTGTGCCACCATTTTCATATTATTCAAAGTAACCAGAAGGCTGCAGTTACTTTCCGGGTGCTTTGATATGTTCAGCATGCAACCGCAGACCTTCTCTCAGATGCTTGCTCACACTGGAGCATCTTAAGTAACTCTAAACAACGGTGTATTAAAAGGAGGTAAATACCACACAGATCCTTACACAGCGTTTTGAGATTAGTGGGTCAAACAAACAAAGAGTT